TTATAAAAAAATTATTAATTATAAAAAAAAGAGATAATAATTTGGCTGGTTGCACGCGCGCATAGAAAAATATTTTACTACGTAAGAAAAATGATTACTCAGCAGTTTATTTTCTTCTTTTGAGTAACGATCCTTAATAAGAGATATTTTCTTAATAATAGTCTTAAAATACTTATTACAATTTCAAAGAGAGAGAGAGAAACTTATTATTATGTACTCAAGATAAAAATTATTTTCTTTTGAAGAAAATTAAATATGTAATAATAATTGTTTAACATTATTAACCGTATATATTTAAAAAATTCCAAATAAATTATGACATAAATGATTATTTCTTTCAGAAGCATATATTACTGAGCAATCAGTCAAATTTTTTAAATTTAAAATGTTTATTATTTTGCAAAGTTATATAAATATACATTCTTTCCGCAGTAATTTATGGACTAATAAAAGTAACGGATGTCTTTTGCAGGGCAATGTTTAATTTATTTTGTTCTGTCCACTCATTAGAAAATAACATCTATTTAGTTTCAACAACTTCCCGATTGTTATTTTATTAGTACATAGTCCGTTTTCGCAATAGGTATTTGTCTTGATCGTGTACTTATTCGCCTACCTAAACCCCGTCGCTTGCATCGTACCTCGCACCTCTTTACGTCACAGTTATGCCTCGATAATAACAGTAGTCGCCGCGGAAATCGTTAGACCGTTGCGCTTATTATCTGTCGCAATATGGCTTACTTGAACGCGCAGCAACCGCATCCACGTCTTACGTCTCTATGCCTCGGTGCATTAAACGATTATGTAGGTCAGGGTCGACGCTGCTTATTCCGCTCGCGCATTCTCGCCGATTTCGAAGTATCGATATACGCGGTGTCATCGTGCGACCATTATATTATACCTCTGCTTGAAATTACGATGTTTCAACATTCCATCGATGATGAACTCCCTTAACTTTATTCTTGCATAGAAATAACGCGATTTTGCTGAAAAAATTAAAACTTTGCTAGATCTGAAAATAATTTTGTCGGATCATTACAATAATTATGTTAGAAACACTAAAAAGTGAAATAAATAATATACACTACAAAAATGTTTAATATTACACTTGAGATTATATTAATATTTTTATTTTTTAATATATAGATACTTAGTTTTAGGAATCTAGATTATAATTTACTTACACAAATTTTATTAAAAATTATTATTAACTGTTATTAAATATTTATTAATTGTTATTATACATATATTAATGTCATTAATATACATTCAAATATTCACTGTTATGTTTTTTGTGAAAAAAATTTATAGTTTGAGTTTCCACAAAATTGTTTTCTTATCTGTATCCAACAAAATTGTTTTCCATAACTATGCTCTAAAATTTATTGCCAGTGCTGAAAATTTTTAGTGTATGTAATAAAAACTAAGATCTTTAGCGCTGAAAATTTTGGAATACAATTTATCTGTTTAGAGAAAAAGACAAAACTGAATGATATTAGTTAATTGGTTGCCCGCTTATTACGATATGTGTGTCATTAGTACAAGTCTTGATATGAGCTCTTATCAAGTTTATTAACTATCCGGCTTTATTCCCGGTTCTACTGGATTTCTCTCGCAAAAGTCGTCTAATATTGATTTTTCCTCATTTTCTTCTATATAGATTGATATAAGTAACTCTACCTGTTAGCTATCACATCAATGGACCATTTTCATTTAACATCCGTCAACGATCGTGACCGATTTTTTTTCCTACCAAAAAGAGACCAAAAAAAGAGAAAGGAGAGAAAGAGAGAGAGAGAAGGGGAGAAATTTCGTGTAACACGCGAGGCTTCAGGTTTCTACCAGATATCGAAGAAGCCATCCTCAACTTGTATAGGTACATGAGGATATTAAGAAACGCAGGATGCAATCACCTACTTTCCGTCGTATATCTTCGTAATCAACGAAAGCGGAGAGGAGCTAAAAAGAGTGACCCGGTGCTTCTTTCGCCGAAGCGTTCGGTATCCGCTCGACACGGCGCGCGGAGCGGCGATTGTGCCCGAGAAATCACTCGCAATCCGGAAGCCGCGGTTAATTTACATAAACGTCACACGCCTCCTTGCTTTTTCCATCTCTTTGCGCGACTAGAACCTGAAAAGAAAGAAACGCCTACACCTGATAGTCGTGTCACGCCGCATTCCTATACCTGGTTCCGATACACAATCGGTACGGCGCGGAGCGGCGGCGGGGAAAAACTCGTTTACTTGTGTGTTAAGGGGATGCTGGAGCGATGACCGAATTTGATGGAGGTCGATAGTACAGACTTGTTTTAATTCCAAATTCGATAATAGTGACATCATTTATTCATTTCTTGTATTATGTTATATATATTGCTGTGTCTCACTCGACGTATTCATCTGTCCTTATCTAACATATTGCAATGCCACCGATGCAAGATCGAGCATCTACTGTTAGACACAATTCCTGGTTTGTTTGCCATTCGAAGTCTCTGGCAAGCAGCTGTGTATACATAATTTACAGATCAATGTGAATCTTTTTTCAAACACATTTTTTTTAACATTAATCTTAGTTTTATAAAATCAATATTGTTCTCGTTCACGTAATCTGCTTGGTGCTGCACTGTTATTTTGTCTATAGAAGCTATAAAACTTTGTATAATATATTATAGAAATATCTGCGTCAGATGATAGATCTTCGAGTAGAAAAATTGTAAGTTTTTAACATTTTTCCGATTTTAGTAAAAAATTTATTGCAGCACCACCCAATTTTGCATTCACTTCAATCATGTAAAAGGATTTTTTATTTTGTTTAGTAAATTCGGAGATTTATTGATCTGCAATATCCCCACAATTTGGTCACTCCAGCATCCCCTTAAGATCGATCGCGTTTCGTACCATATCAGCATCGCGGAAAAGAGGAAAGGCGAGCGAAAACAGAGAAATAAAGAAGCGCAAAGAATGAATTCGCTTGCCAGCTCTGAGATTGTTTCTCGCGATTACCCGATACGCCTCGAGCGATGTAAACTGCTTGAATCGCATCCCTATAGACTCTTATAAAACTATCTTACTAACATCAAATATTTATAAGAGAAGTTATAAGCGATAAGTATAAACGTAGACAATATACAGGGTATTTCAGGATCTTAAGCCGCAATTGCATTAGCGATTGTGCGATTGACGATTACTCTTCAACCAATCAGGGCAAAAAAATTATCGATTACTTCTCATAATTGAAAAGTATAATTGTTAATCATAATCATGCTATCGCTAATGTGATTAATACTTTAGAGATTAACTTCTTGGGTCAGGAAGTGATACGTTAATTGTAATGAAGTTACAATTATATAGTTACTTTTTTTTTCAATAACTGCAAATTGACTTCATTTCTTTCTTTCCCTCTATAACTATAACTCAGTTACATTTTTTTACAATCAGCAACTAATTTAATAGTTACTTTATATTTATATCAAACTTATATGTCAACATATCATATATACGAGCTGATCAAATAGAAGTCAACAGTCAATGATTATTCCTTATGATTTGGAATACATCTTTATTCTTGATAAAATCATCAAAATCACACTCTGTAAATGGCTGTATTAAAAATTGAATTAGGCACCTTTTAATACATGAACGCGTTTTAAAATTGATTCTATAATTATGATTTTCTCTATGTAAATTACTTTATTATAAATAATACAATAAACATATAACCGAATGGTAGTTGATGTAAGTAAAATAACTTATCAATATTAGAAATAAATAAGATTCTTGCATGTAAAATGGCAATGCAAAAATAAACAAATTAACAAAAATGAAAAAAGTAACTAAAAAATAACGTTTTGTTACTTTTTAAGTAATCTTATATCGTTTTTCCTTAGTTGCACTGGTGCACACTGAATTCATATTAAAACCATTGTATATAATTTAATCTGAGTGTAAAAGTGAAATGTAAATATTCGTATGTAAATTTCGTATTGTAAAACACATATTTTGTTTAACAATATAATAATATGTATTAAAAATTTTACAGTTTAACCTGTTCTAAATTTATATTAAATACATATATATTATTTTGTGTTCGACGACCTTAACGTGCACTCAGTGTGAACTGGTGCAGTCAAAGGAGAACGCAAATGGTAAAACTGTAGGAGGTGGTAGATCTCATCGAAAGAATCAGCTTTTGTTAAGAAAATTGTATCCCCTAGCGTATTATTAAGGAACTACTCCGGTCGCATGTGACGTTTAATAATGCTAATTCATGTCCTTTGATCTGGTTTTTTGCAAAAGAACAACAAAAACAGCTAAAAACAATAAAAACTTGGACTAGTAGTCAGACAACGCGCAATGCTGCCACGTATCGATTGCGTAATTTATAGCCTAACAAGCGTAACTCCTTAAAAATACATCGAAGGACATAAGTTCTTTGTGTAAAAGATCTGAAAGTTTCCGAATATAAAAACACAGGAATATAAGAAATAACATAAAATAAAACAATTTTTATTTTTTTAATATAATGCCCTTTATATAATATTTTAATACATTTTTTAAATTAATTTTTTTATATTATTAAAAAAATATAAATTTTTTTTAATGGTAATGCTATATACAGAAGTCACTTCTTTGTTGACTATAATTTTTTTTTAATTTTAATCTTGGAAATAAAAAGAATACTAGGATTCGATAATAAGAGGTGATGAAGAAGTAATCTTTACAATGTTAAATCGTTTAAGGACAAAAATTCAGAATATATTTTTATAATAAAAATTTAATTCAAGGTTCTAAAAAAGAACGTACCGAAATAAAGAGTGATAATATTACAAAATAACAATGTTTACATTTTATTTTTATTTTTTTTATATTTTTGGGTAGGACACTTTTGGATTTTATTACATAATACAGAGCGATTTTTAAAATAAGTCACAAAAAAAATTAATAAGTCACAGAATGTCGAATCGTCAATGATCGATGTGTGAATTTTGCTTGTTTGTTTCGTAGATCGACCAGAAACCACACCAGAGGATCAATCATCACGAGAATCATGTATCCCAAATCACTAAGACGATTCAGTCGCAAGCAAATCATACAAATCACAGTCAGCCCCACAATCATTCTAATCATGTAATCTCCGAGCATGAGAATCACGTACCGATCGGTCGCATGCCCAATCACGTGTCGGCCGTCAACCAAGCGAACCATCAGAAAAACCTACAAAACCAGAGATTGAGTCCGAATCAGGAGTGGCGACAACCGGACGACAATGTCCGACTCCAGGAGGACGGCATCTACGAGACTGGACCGGTGGTACCGAATGACGGCAAACATTCGCTCTTGCAGTATGCCATGCTGAATTTCCGTCAAAGCACAGAAAAGTGAGTCAATATTCCCGATATATAATTTACGTAACATATATGTTTATAAAGTGATCGAGAATGTGTGAATTTGAAGGAATTAAGATCGAGATTCAGCCTCAGAATATTGGTTTTATTTAAAGAATGCGAATACATATGTATATGGTTAATTTTGCGATTTGAACTGCCACACGATTCTAAAAGTTATATTTGTTATTCATTGTTAATTAAAAGAAAAATGATAAATTTTGTCTAATATCGAGAAATCTTGACGAGAAGAGACATCCAATTAAAAATGTATTATCTCCTTTCTAAATGCTGTTCGGTACCAATTAAATGCATACGTAAACTCGTCAATCATATGGAAATTAATACGAAACAACTATTAACGGAGTTACGCAAGGGAATCGTGTTGAGAAAGCATAACGCAGCCCAACGCGCGATATTATTTCGACCGTGCACCGCCGTGTCTCCTTTTCCCGTATCGTTTCTGATATTCTATATTTGTACCGAGGAACTGAGTCTTGTTCAGATTTATCCGCATGTGATGTAAGCGAACGAGCGAATTTAACGAACGCGTTGTGTGCGTCTGGCAGATTCGAGATGTTAAAAACCGCGGATGGATCGATCAGTGGATCCCTTAAGGTGATCGAGTCGCTGAAAAGCAAGAAGAAAAACAAGAAAGGCAAAGGGCAACAAGATGGCACCGAATGGACCTGGAAGGAACAAGTGGACCTCGTCAAATACTCCACTATTCCCATCGAGCAGAGTCTGCTCAAGCTAGATGCTGATCTGAGTGTTTTAGCCGTGGAGTGCTTCCTGTGTCTGATGAGGTACATGGGGGATCAACCATTGCCGCCTGAGACTAGTGAAGTCAAGTGCGTCTACACCATCCTTATGGTAAGATTAGGATCACGATATACAGAAAAATGTAAGCAGTAAGACGTAAGCAATAAGCAAATTGATTACTCACAGTAGAGAATGTAAGACGGTAAGCAGTAACAAATAAAAAATATTGATTTTTACGTTATGCGAAACTGTGTGCTGTGGCCTTAATCAGATATATAAATTCTAAAATATTCTACATTTTATTTTTAAAAACATGAAAAATTTGTGTAAGGTGGTTCTTTAGTAAATCGAGTTACCATAGAAATATCTAATTTTTTATTTAATAAAGTTGAAGTACCGAGAGAGAAAGAGAGGGTGGGGAGGAAGGGAGGGAGAAATCAACGTGTGCAAAATTCTACGGAAGGTTAATGATGAAATAAGAAAGACAAAAAATGTGAAAAATATAATTTTTAAACATATAACTTACAATTAGTGACAGGTAAAGCTTGGAAGCGTTTTTTTGACATAACTGCATACAAATCTTTCCATGTATTTTTCTCAAAACCAAAATTATAATAATTCAACAAATTATAATTTTAATGGTCACAAAAAAGTAATAAGTCAACGGCCATTCTAGAAAGCTATATACGTGTATAAACTTGCATACAAATTTAAAAGACATTACGTCACCTTGTTTTCGCTTAGTGAAGATGCAACTCTTGATTTATTATTGTATGTTTTATACTATTTCATTAATATACACGTAGTTCAAATATTTTATTTATTAAATTGTGCAGATATTTGTAACTTTAGATGCCCTAAGTGTAGCAGGCTAAATTTCGGCACTTTACTAAAGACTTACCTTAAAAGGCACTTTACCTTAAAAGTTATAAAATTATATTAAATACAAAAAATCTGATCATATGAAAAATTATTTTATTAATATATATTTTTATATAACTTTCTTACAAGAGAGAAAAGAGACCTAATTATGATGAAATTAGACAAGGTAATTGTATTTCCGGAGATGTGCAATAGTTTTACCCCTAAATGCAATTAATATTTTAGCAATTTATATTATTTCCTTCGTACTGAAGAATGTGGTTTTCCTAACAAAATCATATATTTTGTGTGTCCACAGCATTGTCACAAATACGAGCAGTTGCGTGACGAGGTTTATTGCCAGCTGATGAAACAGACCACCAATAACAAGAGCCCGAATCCAGAGAGCTGTCAACGCGGTTGGCGGATTTTCAGCATCATCGCTGCCTATTTTACGTGCAGTGAGGGCCTTCGACCCTACCTAACGAAATACCTTGAAACGGCAGCGTACGACAAACGTCGCGCTTATCACGGTACAGCGATGGTGTGCCTACAAAACCTGCGAAAAACTGTGAAGTACGGCGGACGCAAGAACGTGCCCAGCGTGGAGGAGATCATGGCGATTAGCGCGGGCAGAAACGCGAAGAGGCAGATCTACCGGCTGCCTGGCGGCACCGAGCGGGTCATTAACACGAAATGCACGACTGTCGTGCAGGATGTTATTGAGGAGATGTGCAACGTCATCTCCGTGAGAAACCCGCACGAGATGGACGAGTTTTCACTGTACTGCATCGTCGACGGCGACGCGTTCACCATGCCATTGGCCAGAGACGAGTACGTTCTGGACGTAACAACGGAGCTCCAAAAAAACCACCAAGTGTTCTACTTAATATTTTGCAGGTATAGTGATTTGTTTTATTCCGTTATTATAAATCTAGAACTCTCTGTAGAACATTTTCTCTACAAGCATTAAATTTTCAATAGAAATTATAAAATTTTTTTACTTTCTAATAGTGATCAAATTATTAGAAACATCTGCATAAATTATTTTATGTTAAAACTGTTAAAAAATTACATTTTTTTAAATATATATTATAAAATAAAATAAAAATCATAAAATTCACGAAAAACATTTACTTGATATAAATTAATAAATATAATATTGTATAATGAATTTTTTTTTATTGCCATAAAATTATGTCCAAAAAGTGCAGAAATTTTCAAAAATATCTCTTAGAAACTCTTGAGAATTTTTTCTGTTAAATCTTTTCAGATCTGTTTGGTATTATCCTCTACGACTAGATGCAGCATTGTATATAGAAGTCGTATTTAATCAAATCGCTCCCGATTATCTGGAAGGGCTTTTACTAGTTCTACCTGGAGAACATTTACCTCAGGAAATAATTGTGAGTGATATCTGCCTGGAAGTTGAAGCTCGATCGACAATAAACGATTAATTAATGATATATATGTTTTATAGTACGACATGGCGCAAATAGCGGCGCTATTGCACAGAGCGGCCGACATGGCGCACGAACCCGCGACGAAGGAAATTAAATATCTGTTGCCGAAAACAGCGCTCAGCTTGAGAGAGCCCAGACCACAGCAATGGTCGAACATGGTTCAGCAAGCCTGGAACAACGTTCAACACTCTTCGGCGGCTACCTGCAAAGCGCAAGTGCTCGGTAAGTTGACTCCAAACTTTAAGATTGAGTTGTTCCACCTTTTGGTAAACTTTAGCTAAAGTAATATTAAAATTTTTTTAAGACCGATGTATTGATAAACAATAATTAGGAAGAAGAAAGCCTTAATATTTAGCTAATATATAATATAAAGCTTAATATTCGCTATTTAGCTAAAATTAATTTAGCTAAAATTAATTTAGTGTTTACAAAGTAAAGTAATTTTATTTTTACGTTTAAAAAATTATTTGTCTTATACTGCACACGCACGATAAAAGATGTTTTACACTTTCTCAAAATTCGCTTTAATATCTTCAATATACAAGCAGAAACTTAAACAGTAACAATTCACAAAATTATCGTTTAAGAAAATGACAAATTGTCGTTGATAAATGAATTAGTTATACATGCGCATATGTTTTCTATTTTTTTTTTTTTTTTTAGAAATATTGTCTAAATGGCCACTTTTCGGCTCAAGTTTCTTCGCGGTAAAGAGAGTGCCCGAAGGCAAGGAAAAGGGCGCCGATCATATTCTCGCTCTGAATCGACATGGAGTGCATTTCATAGATCTAATAACGCATGTAAGTAGCTCCATTTCTTAAGATGCTCACCTTTTCTCACATAACATCATCCTCTTCATATATAATTCAATCGTCTCGCATCTTTCAGGAAACACTGTACCATTATCCTTACTCCGAAGTGATCTCTACCAGAAAGGTCAAGTCTGAAGAGGGCACGCTCTACCTCGACATGAAGTGCGGCAATCTGATGCAACAGCGTATTACTAGACTTCAGACGGAGCAGGCCCATGAAATCTCTCGCCTCATCAGGCAGTATATTACGATGGAGCAAAGGACGCCCAACGCTCAAGGTGGAGCTGGCATCGGGCTCGGCATGAGATAAGCTTCCTTGTAACACGGCGTTCTTCCTTCGCGACCGATATCCGATCTGGATTAATCCATTTACAAGGTGGTAATCAAGTTAAGCCCTCGATTAATGTACTGTAACGTGAGACGTAACGCCGCGAGTGTAGCCAACATAAATTATGATTTTGTTCTTAACGTGGCCTGCGTAAGACACCGACTTTGAGATTCAAGCTACATCGGGTACCAAGTAGGATAAGTTCGCTCCAATGTACCGGTCCTTTTTCTAATGGACAATGATGCAGCTAATCCGTCATCAGGGATATTCATGGAATTCACTGAAAGGAAGGATTGTAAAGAAGAAAAACGAGTACTCAAAGTATCTAAATCGTCCACATCGGATGATTTGAAACGATGGACTTGTATAGCATTTATTTATGTTTTAAAAAGTTCATAAACGGAAACACAGGCAAGAGAGGAATAAACGCGAATAGAAGTTACATCCATCGTAGCGGTGTAATATTAACACTAATATTAACACACGTCCCTGATGAGTGTTGGATGACTAACCATGCAACGATTATATGTTATCGTCATTAATAATTGTACGTATATGCATATAGGAGTACGAGATGTGAACAAAAATATTAACTTTATATTGAAATGTTTACGTGTAAGATGTTTACGTGTTATTCCTTTCCAATTTTTATCTCGCAATCCCAACTATCGCACAGGTCTGCGAAGTAAACTCAACATTTTTAAATTCAAAAATAACGGACATATAAAATATAAAAATATAATAACACTAACCGAAAGACTTTTAAGTTTCGAAATTATCGCAGTCCTGTGATATAACTGTCCTAATTTATATTTATATATATAAAATTTATATATTAACTATGTTAACTATAAATGCATTGTGGCATCTAGCACGTGTGCCTGGTACATAATAATTAAGTCCAAAATTTATTTCTTTCCCAGATAGCAAGCTGCAGTAATTTCGACGCCGATAGTCATTTTGAATTATTGACGCCATGTGACCTATTTATTTATTTGATATCAGATAAATGACTAATCTAATGACATACTAGTAACGTTATTAATGATCAATTAATAACGTCATTCATTTATGCCGTTAATAAGTTATTAATAATAACACGAAAATAATTACGTGTTTTCGACATTGATTTATGAGACTGACATATCCATGTCATTTTTACGATAATAGAACGTCAGATTTGTCAAGAATAATTCATTAATTACGTCAAATAGACGATATCTTGCTACCTGAGTTGTTTAAAATTTATGTTTGAGTTAAATTAAGTGAATTTGTAATATTATATATATGTACAGAGTCCAGACTTCTATTACTATACACTAGACTGCTAACTGTCCACTTTTTATTATCCTTATATAAAAATTTACCTGTGCAAAGTAGATACATAAAATAAGTCTCACGTGTGAGAAAGAGATTCTAATAGATTAGGTGATCTAGCGTTTCTGCGATTGGTTCAAAAGTATATATAGCAAATAGAAAGCATGCACAGTATGCAAATATACTTATTTTATGCATATAGTATATATATATATATATATATATATTAATTTATATAGTATATATATCTATATAATAAAGATATTTTGGCAACAGTTATAAAGAAATGAGCTACGATCTAGTGTTATAATAAAAGTCTGTGGTACAGTCGGTTACTAAAAGGTTGCAACACTTTTTATAATTTAGAATGCGCAAAAATTTTGAGAATGCAAACCATCACTTCTGAATGCATGTAGTGAGCTGAGTGATGAACTATTAAAGTGAAACAGAATTTAATATAGAAAATGAATTTAAGAAATGTATTTTGAGACCGCATAAAACTTTGAAGATACTAATTAGATACTGTAAGATCAGAATAAGTATAAAAGAGTATATATTTATTTCTATCAATGTAGATTAATTTGCGTTTTAATTAATTTATTTTTTGTTAATTATAATTCTAAAAAAAGATAAAGAGTAAATTGAATCAAAATAAAAATTAAATTATATTAATAAGAGTGATCGTAAGTCGGAATGTGTTCTAAGCCTTTAGATTACTGAGATTTTAATTCGCAATAACCGACATATAAGAATATACGCATTTTTCAGACAGCATGCATAAACAATACGTTCACACAGAATACTATCCGGGATCCAGATTAAACTCCCGATCGAGGTAGTATTTTTCGTAATAAATTTATTTAGACTTTTAATATATTATACAAGATCTTAAAATGATGCCAATTAAGCATCAAATTATTAAATTGTTAATCAATTTGATTTGTGATATTACTATAATAATTTAGTTGCGTTTCTAAGTCCAGAAAATGAACTCAACTCGCAATTAAAATTAAATGATTGGAAATATGGTATATATAAATTCACATGGAAATTATTTAAGCATCTAAGATTCAGCTTCGACCAATATAGGCTTCTTACTTTATTATATTTATACTTACTCTTACACTATCCAATTGGTATTGTAAAAGAATTTTTTGTGATACACAAGATACATTTCTTAAATTTACCTTATGTACTTCGATTCTGTTTCACTTTGATAGCTATCATTAACCACTCACATGCATTCAGAGATGGTTATTTGATGGTGATGACTCCTTTTATCTCTTCATGTGGAGCATAGGACGTTTACAGGCCTCTTCCACTTTTGTTCGAGGCCTATATTCGTTTCTCGAATCAAATTGTTTTCGGATTTGTGGGTGATTGATCCACAGAATCCTACCTCAGTCAGATATTAGAGACATATATCTACTGATATATACTGATGTATAGCACCTACAATTTAACGCCGACTATGAACGGCGCTGATAATCATAGATCTTTTGATCACTAGATAGAGCCATTTTTTGGCTCATTAAACGCGAAAAATCGCGTTTGAGCGCACGTGGGATTGAACTCGGGTTTACAGATCGCGAGTCAATCGCACCAAGCGATGAGTCACTCGACGCCAGATGTTCATTTAAATCTCATCAAAATTTTTACACATTTCAAAAACCATCGAAAAAAGTGTTGCAACCTTTTAATAACTAAGTGTAAATATATAAAAAAAAAGTTTCTATTCGACTTTAACTTGAAGAGCACTTTGGTTTTCTGTTTGAGAGTGTAAATATTTTTGAACTTATCGAGTTTTGTATCACGACTATTGTACCTATATTTACGGCATACAAAAATCTTATAAAATATCGAAGAGTAAATATAATATCAATCAGGGTGTTTACTAGTGAGAAAGCCTTTTCAAAAAAATTTTCAGAGAATTTCCCTTATATCTTTGAAAACCAGGGACTTTTATGGAATTTTGTGTCGGTAGTTAAGGAAATTCTTGGATATTTACTTTTAAATTTAAATTGTGTCTCTTTTTTTTAAAGCATTTCTTTCATTATTTTTTCTTAGTAATACAAAATACTGACAATCGGTTATCGATAAGTATGGCATATATTACGCACTTTTTCAGGTGTATGTGTGTCTCGCGAGTTTTTATTTAAAAAAATTAGGACAACAATAAAAGAAAATATATAGCAGAAGAAAATAGTTCACTGCAGTGAGCCTTCTCTACACTTATCTTATAGATCTTGCATTTTTAATTATAGAAAACATACACAGTCTCATAGAGAACTCTTGTCTTCTATTAATTTACAATATGTGGTTTGTTTGCGTTACTTGCACTCGAATTTATTTCAAAGTTGCATTAAAAAATTTTCTAATCTTTTCTGGAATATTGAATAAAAATACCTGAAAACAATCCAGAAATTATCAGGAAATTTTTTAACAAGGTTTCAGTAAACACCCTGTCAATGATTGTTATATCATTCTTGCTTTAATCCTTCCATGGCTAAATTATTTGTGAACATAAATAAATTCACAAATTACAGAAATAGTAAAATATAGATATTTGTAAGATTAGTGGAAAAAAACATTTAAAGTTTGAATTATTAAATTTACTAAAATTAGAGAAAAAAAATTGATATTCTTACTAGACTTGTGATCAATAAATTTTTAATTAGAAAAGAAGACCAAAAGTGTCTGCATGAAAGGGTTAAATTCTAGAGTGTTCCGGGCTAGGTTTCGGTGTGTTCGATTTAACGTCTTGCGGCCAGTTACTTGCAGTATGCCGAACGTATCCTGGATCGGTCGCCGAATATGGTGTCCTTGCAGTTTGCGTGCCAGTGGTTTTCAATACACCAAAATAATCCTCCAACATCTCAATATCATCCTTGGATCTTCTAGATCGATAATCCTTAGGCGGAGGTGGTACGTTGAAGGACACGTCGCGATGGTGACCCCTCAAGATTCCAGATGAGGCGCGCATTCTGATTGGTACGTTGTCGTATTGACTGTTGTCCGAATATCTGCTCGTCGTTTAAACAAAATTATATTTAAGAACTGGCACTCTGTGCGTCATACATCTTGAATCATAACATATCGGAAACAAGGAAGTGAGCGATCTGATGACTCATGTCATATAAGTGTGATTCTTCATTTCGACGTATTGTTACGTATCTTAATAATTCTGATTGTGTAAAACAACTCTGAGCAAGAGATTTTCAGTATCTAATTGTTTTACAAATATTAAACAAGTAGAATGAGAGAACAGACATAAAAATTATCTTCCACAATTTATACAAAAAATGTTTATTATAGTAATATAAATGATTATCTTTTTAAAAGTTAATTTTTTTACATCGATCAACAAAAATCTCTTGAGATAAAAATAGAGAAGAGATTCAGGTATTTTAGAAGCAACTCTCATTTCACAAATATTGGAAATTCATATTCTATAGTAAAACAAAATACTCATAATACCTCATTTAAAAAAATTTGTGTCACATAAATTTATAAAAATTAAAAAAAAATACTTTTTTATAAGTTCAGATGTTAGAGGCTAATAAAAAATTTTAGAATATTTCAGGATTTACACATATACATAAATAATTTGTTTACTTAAAATAAAAAATCTGAGAAATTTTCTAAAATTATAAATTTTATATATTTACATACTATATAGAAATTGTAACAAATTTTTCAATTTATATAGAAATTATAAAAATTATGCGATAATTTTTACTTTTGGTAGCTTGAAATTCATACTATTGTATAGAATTTACATATATGTGAATTTTAAAAAATAAGATATAGCACTTTTCAAAAAATGTTTCAATTCATACGAAAAGAAAAATATAAACTGAAAGATTTTCTACAAAAAATGATAAAATTACTATATTATAGAAATTCTGAAAAGTTATATAAAGAATTCTAAGAAAAATGTTCACTAAAGTAGCCTTAAATGCGTTCATTTTTTAACTATAATTAAAAATTATTTCTACGAACGACAAAAATTGTTTTTGTGATTCTGATAGCGTGATCCAAGATGGCTAACGCGTAGATTGCCGACATTTAAATGAAGTTTCCGAACCAAGGACACGATGGGTCTCCGGACGCAAGAAATCACCTGTTGTAGTTGTCGAGTTCCTCCTCGACGTCTCGTTCGACCTTCATAATCTTCACGCTTGGATTGACGATTCTTGCGAAGACTGGGTCTCTTTTTTCGTATTCCATCGGGAACCGCGGTGTGTCGATTTCGTCGACCGGCCGTTGATAGATATCACGGCTCTTGTACATTATCCTGGACTCGTCGATTCTGCGATCAGGATCGCGTATGATGGCACGTGGCACCTCGATCTCTCGGTACCGCTGTGAGTCACGTAAAGCGCGGCCATTCTCAAAGTTCTGCGCGTGCTCTCTTAATTCTTGATCACCGCGAAGTTCACGATCGTCCTGGATGCCCTGCGGATGTGTACCGGATGATTCCTGTGGCGATCGCGCGAGATCAGAGCGACGATCGCCTGCCTTTTGAAAAGCTTCGTTCACGCGACCGCTTTCGTCTTCGGGAATTTTAACAACGATTGATGGTTTTGACTTTTTCGTATCCTCAGTGGTCACCACTGGCGTTACCTGATGCTTCCCTATTTTAAAACATATCATATTTTAAAAATATAAATAAATGTATTGAAAAATCTTATTTACAAGTATAAACAAAATACATATATAAAAAGATTACTGAAAATAAGCTGCAATGTAATCAGACTTTATAAGATTAAGTCGTCGTTCTTATCAATATCGTTGATCAGGGGAGAAATA